TTTTAGTATCTTAATATATACATATATTTTTAACGTCTTGTTTTTGTTTGCGTGTTTTCCTATTTTACACCTAGAATTTATAAATTACAAGTTTTGTACCTATATTTTTTAGAAATTTAAACATAAAATTTAAAATTTTCACCCAAAAAATTACAAAAATACACATTCCGGTCCATTCCGGACCGGAAACCCGGAATCCCTAATTTGTGAGGACCGAAGACCGGACCGGAATCAACCGGTCAGGGCCAGTCCGGTCCAATTCCGGTCCGGTCCCGGTCGGTTTTCCGGTCCAGGTCCATTTCTGCACACCCCTACCTGTAAATATCAACTCTTCTTGTCACTCACCTTGAAGTAGATAAACCTTAGGTAGTGGACTAGTGACCAACTAGCATTTCTTCATACTTGAATGATAGCTACCTTGTTGGCTTGTTGTGTGATATCAGAGTGGGGAATTGAAAGTCCCGAAGCATATTTCATGTCAAGTAGTGTCAAAATGAACACTTCTTATTTCGTAGCTGTTTCCATGTAGTTTTACAGCGTCATAATTTATTTGCACCCTCACATTCTGTTTCCACCTGTATCTGTAAATTAATTTGAAAAAGTTTTTCATTAATTTATACCTATATGGCTTTGTTTACGTATTGCTTGTAACTTCTGCAGCTGAATGTCAGAAACAAGTCTGCAGCTGCAGAGTGTTGTATGAGAACAGAACTATGCTTGGAAGGTTGTATCTAACTTAATGATAATTGAACTCAGTGAAGGCATTAATTTTTAGTAATTTTGTAATCAGTGAAGGGTAATAATATATGCTCCTCTTTAAAAATAATTTCGTAATCAGTTATTGTCTAACTAGTTGACGACTTTGTCATTGTAAAGTTTATCTTATGCTACCCTTCAAGGCTTTTTGCTTGAAAGTTGTAACATGTAAGCATGGAATTTGGAAATACAACTATAGGATAATGTGAAAAGTGAAAGCTTCTCTTTCCGCCTCTAGCGACCAATGTTGCATAACTTTAACTTGAACTCAACTCCTAATCAAGTAATCAAGCTATAAATATGTAAAGTACTAGATTTCCTAATTGGACAGAGCTTTTTAAATTTTCTCTCCTTTTTAATTGAAATTTAATAATTGATATTGCATAGCTTAAACTTGTGCTTCAGTCATTACAAAACTAATATTTAATAGTTTAAAATTGAGCATGGCCTTTAGGATAGTTATCCCTTCTTTCTTCTTTCTGAATTTAAATTTTTGGTTTGCCCATTGATTGTTACAGTTACTGTTTCACACTTAGCTAGTGTGTCGATGACATGGAAATGAAAGGTTCTTAAATACCAATGCAATAGATACACTACGGGTGATTAATTATGTTCCATGTGAACCGCAGCTCTCAATGATGCCATCAGGGAAGATGTATCTGCACTCACTTTGCTTGCAGAGGTCTTGTGCCTTTTGGATATGATTGTCAATTCATTTGCTCACATGATATCAACCAAGCCAGTTGATCGGTATATTAGACCAGGATTTACAGGTAATTTCATATGGTTGTCTTAGCTTTAGGTTGTTAAATAAGCATTTAAGTGCCTGCAGCAATGATTACATCATCTGATCTTGCAGAAAGTGGCCCGTTGGCAATTGATGCTGGAAGACATCCTATCCTTGAGAGTATACACAGTGACTTTATTGTATGAGATAGTGTTTTTCTTGTGAAATTCTTTTTATTTACCTTCTTGCATAAGAGGTATATCTAAATAAGTTTTCTTTCTCTAATTCTTCTTTTGGCAGCCCAACAATGTCTTTCTTTCTGAAGCATCAAACATGGTGATTGTTATGGGTCCAAACATGTAAGAAACACTTCAATTTCCATTAATGTTTTCTAGAAACACTTCAATTTTCCGTTAATGTCTTCTCAACATAGTGCTTAAAATGTACAAAGTATGTATTTGACTATTTGTACAGCACAATTGTATAATTACTATATTTGTGAATCTGGAAAATTCTCAGTATCTATGTGTTTCATCTTGCCAGTCATTGGGACATCAATAGAAGCTCAAGACAACTGTACGATTACTGTGTACAGAGTACATGATCCACATAGATATTGTAGTTGCTTTTGTCGAATATTGACCTATCCTAACATAAAAAAGAGACCTTGGTATGTAGGATATATTTGGAAGTGATATGGTGGCTGATGAATCAAATCACCATTCAACATAATGGTTGATCCCCCCCCCCTCCCCCTCTCTTTCTTGGAGTTGAAATTCTTCCACTCAACATATCATCAAAAACATACTCCCTTAAGTTTACCCTTGCAATAATGGAATTTTCTTTTCAGGAGTGGCAAAAGCACTTACCTCCAACAAGTGTGTCTTATTGTCATCCTTGCTCAAATAGGCTGCTACATACCAGCTCGATTTGCCACTATAAGAGTTGTTGATCGTATATTTACTCGAATCGGGGCGGTAGACAATCTTGAATCCAATTCTAGTACGGTATGTTCTCTTTACATAGTGATTACTTTATGCTATGCTATCCAATATTCTGAAAAATGAAGCTATGATCTGCTATTCTGCCCTAAACTGCCTATTTTACTGGCAACGGAGTATAGACTTAGTAAAAAAAAGATGCCAAGTATAGAATGACTTTGTGCCTGAATTCCCAGAGTATGTATTATGTGTGACTGACAATAAACCTGGCCTTCTTCACCATAGCCTACAGGATATATGAAAAATGGGCTATAGTCCATAAGGATCTTTAATATACTTATTAAGCATGCAAGTGAAGTCTACAGTGTTTAGCGAAGAATTATGAATTATCACACATGTGCACCCTAGAGTCTAGACAAGTTCCATATTTTTCTAATGGTTGCCTACTTGGGATAAATCTCATCTGGATACTCTGTCCACCGTAGTGCCTATGCTAATTTTTTAGTGGAACTGCTGGTGTGGTTTCTTTAATCATTTAGGCAGGGAATGGTGAAACCCTGGCTCCCTGTACCCTCTGAACAAAGACCTATCAAAAGTCCTGTTAAGTTTTCAGATGTAAAAGGCAATGGACTTCTTCAGTAAATTTTATTTAAGCAGAATATATGTTAGTGCAAGGAAACTTTTAGTTTACTCATTTTTACAGAGAAACACAATCATTACATAAATCTTTTTTGGTTTTACAGTTCATGACAGAGATGAGAGAGACAGCATTTATATTGCAGAATGTTTCTCAGAGGTACATGTGAGGTTTAATGGTGTAAGATGTTTATAGTTGTCATATTGACAGTTCTTTGTTGTTTACATGCAGAAGTTTAGTTGTCATGGATGAACTTGGGAGGGCCACTTCTTCATCAGATGGATTTGCAGTTGCATGGAGCTGCTGTGAGCATCTGCTATCTCTGAAAGCGTAAGAAGCTGAACTGTTATCTTGGAATCTACTTATTCTGCTAGCTTCCATATTCCCTTTATTACACTTTTTCTGTGTCTGCATAGGTTTTGTTTTAGAAAGTTTTTGGCATTGCTCTATCCAGGAAGGTTGACATATGCTTCTTTTGCTGATCTTTAGGTACACGATTTTTGCCACTCATATGGAAAATCTGTCAGACTTAGCAACCCTCTACCCCAATGTGAAAATTCTACATTTTCATGTCGACATAAGAAACAACCGATTGGATTTCAAGGTAGCAATCTAATCTACAAGGCCAGAAAGGCATGTTTCTTTATTTTTCTGTGTCTAAACACTTGATTCATTCATCTTGCCAGTTTCAACTGAAGGATGGGCCTCGACATATTCCCCACTATGGCCTTCTACTTGCAGGTGTAGCAGGACTTCCTAAATCCGTGATCGAGACAGCCTCAGTCATCACATCTAGAATCTTAGAACAGGTGATATGTATTGAGAACTCTCTCAAGTCTCCCTCAGTTGTCCTCTTTGGCTCAAATGCTTTTTTTTAGCCTCCGTTACTTGATTTTCCTCTTTGGCTTAAATACAATTATAACCAAATCACCTTTCTCTATTTCCAATAATTTAACATCGTAAGGCTTAATCCTCATATATTTTAAAACTATTTATGGAAAGTATATAGGCTGGAGAGTGACTAATTGCTTGGTTATGAAGTCTTCATAATTCTGTATCAAACTATTTGTATGCTTTTTTTTCTTTTGGTGAAAAAATCGACTTATTAGATTAGATAACTGCAGTCCCAAACACTGGATCATATGACCCCTTCGACATTTAGTAAAATGAAACAATGGGAGACTATAAGGTTCCTCTAGGTTAGCAAATGTTCGAAGATTTTTTTTTTAACAAACCTTGAAGTGCTAGAGAGGGTCAATCTTTCAAATCCTCATGATCTCCATACTTCCTAGTTTATTTCTCTCTTTTTCTGCAACTGAATTAGAACCTAACAATAGTAGACCATTATAAAGCCTTTTTTCGCTCTTAAAATCAACATGTACTAAACCTCTAGCCTCTCAAGAGTCAAGATGGTTTGACTCTTTCAATATGTGAGAAAGATTTATGTGGTCTAGTAGTCACATTTGAACATTATTTTGTACAGCAAGCTAAGAAGATGGAGGTGAATGAACTGCAATACTATCCCATTCAGATGCTTTACCGCGTGGCACAGAGGCTAATATGCTTGAAGCACTCTAATCATGATGAAGATTCGATAAGAGAAGCGCTTCAAACTCTCAAAGAGAATTACCTTAGTGGCAGGTTGTAGAGTGCTTAAGAATTGACGCACTTGAACTCTCTCTTCATAGGATATTTTTTGGGAAGGTTATCATTGAGATGTAATACGAAGACATTGTTGTTGAGCTTCTACGTGATAAAATTTTTAGACGAACAACTTCTCTTCTATCTACAACTTTACATGCTAGGAACTTCAACTAAATCACTATTCTTCCTCAAGGGAAGTAGTTTAAAGAAGTTAAGTTCAAGATTGTTGAACATATTACCCAGCAATGATGTGCCTTTTAAATTGTTCAATTTAATAGTTGTCAAAAAAAAAAAAAATCATAGTTGAATGTCATAAACCAGATTCGTTCCAGAAGGCAAAAGAACTGAAAAGGGACTAGAAGAAAGTTTCCAATATTTTTATTTCAACCAGCATTAGATTACCACTATCTACCTTAGACAAGTTAGACTGCTGTATTTTGTATGTTTAAGAAAGATAGTCTTGAACAATTCAGTACTTAAATTTCAGACTAAGCAGCAATACAGACTAGAAAAGAACTAATGTGTGATGCCAAAAAAAGGCCAAATAACCGAAATTAATTGTATCAACACAAGGATTTGGTCCAGTTTCTGTTCCGTGTTGCCCTGCAAGATGGCCTGTTCTTGAGGTTGACCGCTGCCATGAAGACTGCTGTATTTTTGCCTGCCAATGTATGTCACAGTGCTCTCTCTATGCACGCGGACAGAATTGTAATTCCTGTTTGATTCCCGAATTGTTTCTGATGGCGTTGTAAACAGTGTCAATAAGGATTACTCCGTACTTTATAGTGCTTGAAAGTTTAATTCTGCAGGACAATGACAGACGTAAGAGTCTAGCTTTTTAGCAGTTGGTTTCCTCAGGTTCATTAAAAAAAATAGTAAAGGAAATGATCCAATGGGCATCAGATCTTGAGACATTTTAGAACTCTTTTACCCCCCAAATAATTGTCCAGATGCCACATAAGACATCCCAACAATTGATTCAGGAAAAGAGCATTAATAAAGAGAAGTGAATGAATAGGAAGAAGAGGCATAATGAACAGCAGTAGCAGCAGAATAGCAGCAACATCAACAACAACAACAACAACATCAAAGAGAAAGACAACAGTAGTAGCAATTTAACAACAGTAGCAAAGTCTATAGCAAAGCCTCAAATACCGCAAAGCGGGGTGGCTATAGCTATTAAACTAGAGACTGCATTAGCAAAGCCACAACAACCGCAAAGTGGGGTGGCTATTGCCTTGAAACACGTTAGCAAAGCCTCAAAAACCGCCGAGTGGGGAGGCTATAGCTACAAAATAAAAGACTGCATTCATCATTTGCTCAAAGCAAACTCATCTATAGTGAGCCTCCTACCACAAATTGGTGTTGGCTACAACTATAGGAACTCAAGATTAGTCATCATTTGCCCAATTTCTAAGTAAAAAAACATAATTAAAAATCAACCATATTTAGCATATGAAGCTACCAAAGATAATCAGGCCACCCAATTTGTGACCAACAGTCCAGCACGCTCGTCCGCAACTGACCTCTTGCTGTGCTGCAATTTTAACTGAGTTAAACCGTTGCATGTTGGCTAACAATTCACAACACCTTTGGCGCCGGCCTCTTATGACCGCCTCTTCTCACATGAATGGGATAGACCACAAATCCCTGACAATTATAAGAATAAAATCAGTTACTTTTACTCCAATATCTCAATCCATATAAAACACACTAATTGAACTTCATCATATAATAAGTGATTGAATTCTCACCATTCTTCAATCATTCCCTCAGCATTTAGAGTTGAATTCACCAAATTACTCATAAATGAAGGGCATTTAGAGCAAAGGACTCAAGAACATTTCAGAGTTTGAACAATGAAGCTTGATCCAGCTAGAAAAAAAATCCAAAATTTCAATCAATTATCTGAATAATAATCATCGAGTATATATTGTGTAAAATTACAATGACAAATCACATATATTTCGAAATACCCTTCATTTAACAAAGTCACACAAATCTTAGCAAACATGATTAGGGTAATGCATCAAAAAATGCATTAATCAAGAACAGAAAATGCTTCAATAATCATAAAGCAATTTCAAAATGTAAATTGTAGTTTAGAAGAAAGACACGGAATTACGAAAATGGAAGAGAGAGAAAGATACTCACCCCAAAGTCTGCTCAGCTCAGCTCAGCTTCAATAATCCATGATTGTCTGCTCAGCTCCCGAATGAGTAGGGTTTTCGCAAAATGGGTTGGGTGTCGTGGGGGGTTTTTGTAATATGGACTTGAACTTGCCCCAAAGTCTAACAATGTTTTTTTTTTTGGTGTTTAGAAAGCCAAAGACGGGGTGAGAATCGATCCCAGGATCTCCTGAGATTGCGAGGGAAGCTCTAACCACTTGAGCTATTCCTCACTCTCAACAATGTGACTTGGTAGCTCATTTGGTAAGGATGACATTGGGTTAGCATGTTAGATTCAGTAAGTGTTGGAATCGAGATTAATCTGACAAGACTTTACATGAATATATGAGTACGTTTGAAATACATATATGTCTATAAAGTATTAGATTCAATAAGCATTGGAATTTCTCAAACAAGACAATCAATTTGAAATGAATGGTTTAGTTTAAAATCTTAAACTTCAATTGTGTTCTATAATTTATACCTAGTATGATTTATTTTCCTTGATTTTCTATTTTATCTTGTTTTATCATACGTAGTATTTGTAAGTTATTGTAAATCTTTGTCTTGGTTTTTTTTACTGGTTTTTGTCACAATATTCTCCATCTTCTTTAACATAACCGGTTTTATAGAGTATATTCAATTCATTAATCGCCATACACATCTCTTCTACAAGATTGGATATTTTACATTAGTATGTACAATCTTCTATACCTTTGGATGAACCAAAATAATAATAAAGTACAGAATCTTGAATCATATACATCATACTTAGTAATATACATCATACTTAGTATATTCTTTGTGCATCCCAAATAAACAATTTAATAATTTATATAAATGGCGTGTTATTTTCTCTTTATTCTCTTTATTTATTTAGATCTTAAATCATATACATGTATATTCTCTTTATTTTCTTACTTTTTTAGATAATTTAATACTAGTATTAAGGGAATGAGTTATTATGCCTAAATCATACTCCGTAATATTGATGAGTGACTCCGGAAAAATTTACAACCGAATATATTGACCACTTCCTTATATAAAAAGAGAATTGTTCCTATATCAAACTACTCCAAATTATTACCAATAAATCAGCAATAACAATATACCATAATGATATCTACACCAAATAATTATAAATAATCCATTATATTCTTTTGTCAACTAGCTTAATTAGACATTCTATTGACATCACATATGCCCGTGTCAACTGAAAATAGGGTTAATCACATATATTATATATATATATATTGATATTTTACATGCATAATGCATTATAAAAGACAAACATCACATCAACTCTAAATTTCACGCGTCTAACACGTGCTTCAATTCTTGAAGATATGAACCATAAATTCCACGTCTAAACTCCAAATATTGCAATACTCATTCAATTCTTAGACTCAAAAAAAAAAAAAAAAAAAAAAACAATGGCTAATACATCCCACATTATCTCCTCTTCCACCCTCACCTTCCTTTCACCCCTTAAACCCTCTATCCCTCCACACACCCCTTCATTTCTCAAGCTTCCCGCCACCGCTTTCGCCGCCTCTCGAATAAAACTACCACCACTCACCGCAATTTCCTTATCTGCTTCCTTTCCCACCACCTCAAATAATTCATCCTCCACATATTTTTACGGTCTTTGCTATGTAGTTCGGGATGATGTTGATACTAATCAAATCATTCCTACACAATATTATTCCACCTTGAATCATTACCCTCTTCGATTTGTTGAGGATGATGGGATTAAATCAAAATACTCGATTATTATTGCAGGGAATAATTTTGGGTGTGGAAGAGAACATGCTGATGTTGATGCTTTGAGTGCTGCAGGAACAAGAGCTGTTGTGGCTGAATCTTATGATGGGGTTTTTCTTAAGAAGTCGAATTCGAGTGGGTTGATTTTTGCTTTGGAATCTGAGGTTAGGATTTGTGATGTGTTTAAAACAGGGGATGTTGCTACTATTGATGTTGAAGAGAGGGTTTTGGTGAATCAAACTACTGGGATAGTTTATCAGTTAAAGGCTGTTGCTGACGCGGATTTTGGTTCAACATCTGTTAGTTGAAGTTGGTAGACGATATTTGATCTCAGGTCTTTTTACTAGCTCGTATTCATAAGGGATGATCGATTCGTGTGTACAAAGTGTGTATATTTCCGTTTTGAGTTGCTGGTGAAAACTGATGGTTGAGTTACACAAGATTAATGTGGGAAAATCAACCATTGAATTGGGAATATGATGAATTGCATTTATTGTTCTTCAATTCTAGCTCTTTAATTGATTTTTTATATCTTTCGCATTTGTGAATAGTAGCGTAAAATCATGTTTAAATTCATAGCATATATAATGCTTAATTAGTTTCAGTTACTCTAGAATTAAAAGATTTTGCGTTGTTATAAAAAATTCAATTCAATACAATATCTAATCTTTCGTTATTTGTCCCCACCTTTCTTTCTATTTGAAAGGACGCTATGGTGTTTGATGTCATTGTCAATTTGTGATATCATATGGATGGAATCAAAGCGAATAACCTTCTCAACTCTATTACTGTAACTAAACAAGTACTCCTTATATATTGCCTTGTTTCTGAATACCAATACTAGTATTTGTCTAATTGTCTCATCTTTCTTTTAGCCTGCCTTCAAATTTGATCCACACTATATTTAGTAGTAACTTGTAACTTTGTAAACAAGTCCGCATTTGATAAGCGAAGGAAGTAATTACTAAATACTAATATCTATACTTCATACTTGTATACAAGTTAAAATTATAAAATGTTGATATTTTGAATATATACCTTAAAACGAATTTAACAATATTTCACATAACTATGATTAAAAAATTACAAAAAATAGTCAAAATATAGTTTATGAATAATATTGTCTAAGGTCAACATGTATCAATCACGGAGTAAAAAGAAATGGAGAAAGTAATTCACATACTCAAAAGAACATGGCTTATTTCGTTGATAAACGGAGTTGGAGAGCCTATTAAGTACACCTAGATGTACCATACATCCGGGGTCAGCAAATGACCCGGATGTGCATTACACCCGAGTCTATAATACGGAGTAAAATTCTAATGGAGTTGGGGTCCTTGGGGATAATGAAGGAAATTTATAATTAGTCCACACAAAAATTTCCATATTCCCCATTTACTAGTCCAATTGAGCATCAGCCGCCCCTTTCCGCTGCATTTCTCTGTCTTTCCTCATACTAGTTGTATCTCCGTCGAAATCACCATGGCTAAGGCGGCTCCGACAACCTTCTGCACCTTCACTTCCTCAAACCCCACCTTTAATTCTCCTTCAAAACCCTCAATTCCTCTTCAAAACTCTTCAATTCTGAAACTGCCCACCACCTATTTGACGAAATGCCGCACTCAATTCCTCACCACCAACACTCAATCCACCCGCTCTCCGCCGTCTCTATCACCGCTGAAAGCCACCGATTCCTCCTCTGATTTCGTACCCTCCACCGCATTTCACGGTATCTGCTACGTCGTCGGCGATAACATCGACACTGACCAAATCATCCCTGCTGAGTACCTCACTTTGGTCCCTTCAAACCCTGAAGAATACCAAAAACTTGGGTCATATGCCTTAATTGGATTACCCAGTTCATACCCAGTTCGTTTTGTTGATGATAATGAAATGAAGACAAAGTACTCTATTATCATTGCTGGTGCCAATTTTGGATGTGGGTCATCAAGGGAACATGCCCCAGTTGCTTTGGGTGCTGCTGGAGCTAAAGCTGTGGTGGCTGAGTCATATGCTAGGATCTTCTTTAGGAACTCTGTGTCAACTGGAGAAATTTATCCCTTGGAATCAGAGGTTAAGATTTGTGAGGAGTTTACTACTGGGGATGTTGCAACTATTGAGCTTGGTGAGAGCAAGTTGATTAATCATACCACTGGAAAGGAGTATACTTTGAAGTCTATTGGGGATGCTGGCCCTGTTATCGAAGCCGGTGGCATTTTCGCCTATGCGAGGAAGGCTGGGATGCTAGCAGCTGCTGACTCTTGAGTTTGAGTTTTGTTGGGTATGTTTCTATCTTGGAGCTTATATATTGTTTTGTGAACTTTCATTATTAAGTGTTGGTTAGATGATGATTGTGCTGGGATTGTGTTCTATACTTTTAAGTTATTGCTTTGTTGATCTTATGTTAGCTTGAGTGATTTCATCTCAGAGTATAGTTCCTTGTTATTGGCCTGTTTACATTCTCATTTGGTGATGTAGGTATCTAGCAATTGGTTAAGTTCACTTGTTAGTGCTGCTATAGGATGGAGTTAACTTTCCTAAATCCGAATGGTATTGTTGGAATAAGAGATGGTTACTGTAGTTGCTACTTGCTAGTTTGGGACACTTGTTAAACTCAAAATTGTAATTTTTTGGGATCAGGTCAACCTGTTGGGAAGTGATGCCCTTAGTATTAGTTGTCTAAACCTTCCTTAGAGTTGAACTTCAATGTTGGATTTGACCAAATTGAATTGATGTGAGCTAGTGTACTGTTTGTGAGCTTTCATCATTCTGTGTTGGTTAATGATGTTTATGTTGGGATTGCCTTTTAGGTTATTTCTTTGATCTTTTGTTGATGTGAGGGATTTCATTTCAGGGCATTATAGTTACTTGCTGATTCTCTGTTTAGGTTCTTAGCTGGCGATGTACTAACCTAGCAACTGTTTAAGTTCACTAAGGAGTGCTGCTTTTTGGAAGGTATTAACTTCACAAATTCCAAATGCCAATAAGAGATGGTTTTTGTCTTATCTTGGCTGGGATCTTTGTAGAACCTAAATATGTATTTTTGGGCTCAAAACAACCTGTTAAATTGTTGCCCTTAATGTTATCTACTCAAACCTCCTGTAAAGGTGATCACCAATGCTGGACATCTGCACATTGGATTGACTTACACACGCACATGGAAAGATAATACTCCAATCATTTTTTTGAGTATTTGTGGTTATTTCTTGCAGCAACTTTAATGTCCATTTTTGGTCTGACAATTTGATGAGTAAGATTCTGATAACTAGATTGATTGGTGTATATATGAAGTTATGAACCCAGAAAAACATGAAAAATAACCAGTAAGGATATGGTTTTACGAATTAGTGCATTGATTACGTAGGGAAACATGAATAAGTTGGGCAATCAAATGAGACGTTCCAAATTATAAATGGGACTCACTTCGAAAGGTAATAGACTAAGGATGAAAGAGAAACGTGAAGTCTTAAACCCTGTATGAATTGTGATTTTAGAGAAATCTATTGCAACCTCACCCCTCACCATTTAACAAACTGACAGAAGCTAGTGGTGCTCACTGGTGCCCAAAATGTGCACCTTATTAAAAAAAAAAAAAAAAATCCTTGATAGCTATAATTAATACAGTATTTTTAGTCCTGTGAAATTTAAAAATATCAAATCAAACTAAATAAATATGTTTATGGCCTTTTTTTGTGCCCTATTTGATGCTAAACTAACTTGAATTGTGCATGTACACTATTATTTATAATTGCTATCTTTCAATTTAGGATTGAAGCTGGTCAAAAATTGTTAAGCGTATTGTGTTTTGTCGCATTTTGTCAACTTTGAATTTGAATAGACTAATCAATGCCCGTTCAAGCTGTCTTCTACTTTTTTTTTTTTTTTTTTACTTTTTTTCTTTTTTTATGGGGGAAGTATGCCAGTCCATTGCCTTTTTTTTTGGATTAGAGCTGTGATGAGAACAACTTCTTTTCAGTTGATAACTCTAAACCAGTTTTTTGAACATGTATGTGGTGGCATAAAATTTAACCCCTTAACCTTGCCAGAGGCAGATGCCTCATCAGTGGAACTGTAGCAATGCTATGGTGTGGTATTGAGCTACAAAGAAACTCCATCTAAGTGTCTGTCCTCCATATTGTATTGCCCTTTTCTACTCTTCTCCTGGCCATTTGCAAAGGCTTGTGTAGCCCTACCTTTTATCCTTCCATTAACTGCTTGTACATCATGGCAATATACTCACCCACTCAGTATATTGTTAAATCTGCTACACTTATCCATTGTAGAAAAGGATTACTTCAGGAAATTTTGTTACTGCTGCAATAGGCTAGCTTACAACAGTTGTAGATTATAATATTTTGGTCATTTTATCACATACTAGTTTGAGTACAAAATATGCTGCTTTTGTTAGGTGCAATGTAACATCTAATTAACGTGTGGATTTAGCTGTCACCTAGGCTTTGACCTTCAATTGCTTAGTATCATTAAAATTTTCAATTATTATAATTCAGGTTTAATGGTGGCAGTTAGGTTTATGGGATAGTTGATCTTGCTATTGGATGTATTTATCTCTCAGCCAACGCTAAAATCTCGTGCTTCCATTTTTTCGGTTGAAGACCACTATTGTTTAGCCGTTGCATCATTATCCAGCAACATCGCATTTATCGTGGCTCATACCTGGCTTCAATGTCTGGTACATGTTTTGCATGCTACTCATTAGTCGTAACCATCTATGTGATATTGTGACTGATCTAGAAAGGGTTCTCTGTCACAATATCATGTAGATTGTTACGACTTACAAGTGGCAACTTAGGATTTCATTAACAAATTTTCTCTTTTTGGAGCCAGGAAAAAAAATTGCCGAGATGCTTTTCATAGACTCTAATACACTCCGGGAGTCTATTTGGGTGGGTGAAACCATTCAATATGCCTTTAAACGGTCAATTTACTCGTTTACAACTTGCGTCAATTTCGTTAATTCAAGGCTTCCACGGACATTTATGACAACATATAATGATTATATATGGTTTCAAATGACATTATATGAACCCAGGATGTATTCCCTAGCATCTCGAGATTTTTCGACTCCGGGTCAAAAAACTCATAAATTGCCCTAAAAGCGTGAATTATAGCCTTCAATTTTGGACAATTTTGACCTGAAAAAAAAAAATTGTCGAGATGCTTCCTATAGACCCCAATACTCTTCGGGAGTCTAATTAAGTGACTGGAACCATCCAATTTGTCTTTAAGCATCCAATTTACCCGTTTTTGTACATGCCTCTTGTAGTGGCTATAAGTTTTCACGGTGTCTTTATGTAGCCGATTAATGGTCATATATGGATCTAAACAACATTATATGACCTCTACATGCATCCCATAGTATTTCGTGAATTTTTGACACCGGGTCCTATTGTCCAAAATTGCTCTAATTTTTGTGTATTATAGCCTTCAAATTTGGCGTTCATATATCATTTTTTTGGACCCATTGCTAATAAAGTCATCTGTTGTGACAATAAGTGTACTTAGTCTCTTAGAAATGTGTCCATTAATTAGCCCTGTGGTTCTGGAGAACTGAAAGCAAGTTGCATTAAAAATCACTTAGCCAACTCCAATTGTCCTTTGTTCTATACTTGTGGTTTGGTTTAAACATTAGATGTTCTAATTCTTTGTTCATTTATCCAACTTTGATCTTTGATGTCACTTTGGTTCATGTAGCCGACCCCACGTATGGGATTGAGGCTTTGATTGATTGATTGATTCTTTCATTAATTATAGAAATTTGCTTTCTGCAGGTTGCAGATTGGATATACAAGCTCAAATCAATACTCAATTCTCCTCATTACCAGATGTGATCTCCAGAATTTAGGGCTCTATCTTGCTATGTATTAGATTTCCTTTTTTTTTTTTTCCTTTTCTTTTCACCATAGATTTGCATTTCTTATGGCTGTAAGACTGTCATAAATCAGAGTATGATTGTAACTGATGTGCTTGCTATTCTGCTTATCTAAATAATAATGCTCAAAGTTTGGTCTAAAAACCTTTGATAGTTAAAGGGTGTAGTAAGAATCTAGATTTGCCTCTTTGGAGTTTATTATCTTTGAAGCTTATCCCTGTCATTTCATGAGATTTTATGTGGCTGCATGCCAGCGCCCTCAGCTTCTTAGGTCCAAGCCATCCCTACCTTGACCCCTCAGGCTGTCCAGATAATGGGAATGTACTCAGAATCTCATGCAGATCCAATTAAGCTCCACATATATGAACCAAAGGAAATAGAGTCGTTGAGCTCAAAATTCTCTCTTTACTGAAATGAGGTTAATAACTTAATAAGATGTAAGCTGAGTCTGAAGCTCTGTCCATGATTATAGATTTTAACGATGTAAAAAAAGCTTAATCAATGGTGCTTATTTTTGGTTGAAATGGTGAAAAGTATCACTCTCTCCTCTCTCCTTCATTTCTTCCTTTTTTCTCTCTCTCTTGGGTTCAAGAAATTGTTTCCTAACCTATTATGCTCCTCGTCACTTTCTTTCATACTACGACTGTGTTTAAATAAATGAAACTTTTTTTTTAGTAACCTTTTTTATTTTTTAATAATACTCTCTACTTTTTACTAACTAATGGTTCCTACAAAATCCCTTTTTTTTCCTCTCTCCCCTCAAACTTATACTCCACGAGCTTATTTTAATATATTCAACTCAAAGTAAAATGTTTTATTTATTTAAATATAGAGGGAAGTAACAAATAGAAAAAACTATATGATTCCCACAAACTTATTCAATACTTACTTAATGTGAGAAGGTTTTTTGTAGGATGAAAATGTAGTCATCTATGTTAAAGAACTAACTAGATATGTACAAATATACAATAAAAGATTACTCAGTACGAGCTTAGATATTATTAAGGACTAAAAAAAACTCCAAAACATAGGCATTCTCAATGACCAGGATTTATCCCAAAACATTAATATGAAAAGATTGATAGCAAATGTGAAAGGTAACTAAACCACTTTTTATTATACTTGAAAAATCAATTACATTTCACATCTGCGAGAAGTTACTAAACGAACATATTACATTTCTCAACTCAATACAACTTTGCTCAAGGCACCTAAGTATCTACACTCTCCTGCCTTCTGGTCTCACTTCTTACAGAGGGGACACTTTGGACGGTCACTGCCTTAAGGATGACGACTTGGAGCGGCCATAATGGTGATTGTGATGATGATCCATCTCATAATGTTCAGATTTTCTTTTTAAAGATGGCCGAGTTCGATACGAGCCATGGCTGTCATGATCAAAAGACTGGTGACTCTGGGAGATCTGCTGGTGGCTACAATGGTAATTATCATGGTCAATAGAGACTCTCTTGGTCTCTCTCTTACGGTCATGGTTGCGATCATGATAATAATCGTGGTGTTCTTCCCTTGAAGACCTATGAGCTGATGCTGGCTTCTGCACGAAGTCCACAGATCTTTGTCAATAACAATTATACGTTTTAAGAAACACTTGAGCATAGTGATAAAAGGATTGATGAAAATATTCAATTATTTTTTTTTTTAAAAAAAAAATTGATACTGCATGAGATTCAAATTTTTGATAAATAATAAAAAAAATATTAAGCAATAATCAAATAGTAACACCATACGTGATTTTGTCACAAATCCTTAACCTAAGACAGAGTACCAACTTAGTAAATAATTCATTTAAACTATCCCAAAAGGCCATAAGTATTCATGTTAGCACAACGTTAATTACCGTTAACCACATTTTACTTGTATAATAATTGTTACAAAATTTGAAAATCAACTGATGCTCTGATAAACTTAGGTTCAACATATATTTTTTTTTTTTAACTCGTATTTGTTAATTTGTATAGTTTGTTATTTTTTTTTTTTTTACCCCAAACATGAGACAACAAAAATAACACAATTCATAGCACTAACTCATGTTAGGACTTTGGAGGATTTGACAGTAAGAGCTGTGGGCCTATGGCTAAACTCAAGTACACAACCACAATCTACAATTTAAAAAAACAAACAAACAAACAAAGCTCCAGTAACAAAATATTCTGATAATCCATCCCTAAAACAATCATGTAGGTTTTATATAGAGAAAAATAAATAAAAACAAAATACAAGTGCAAGGCAAGTGTAAAAATATAAAAATCAATAAAACCAAAACAAACACAACATCTGTTATTCCTGTGAAACTCTCCAAAATATTAATAACAGCAAAAGGAGAGAAAATAAACTGAAAATTTTCATTTGTCAACATGCAACTCCTATAATACAAGAGATCAAAGCCAGAGAGAACAGAGATTTGGACAACAAAATAACATACAAGTTCGGACTTCTCAGGCAGGACATTGTCATTGCTTCTTGCTTCTCTGTGACAATCACGATCTTTAGGATGGTCCCTGCTGCAACACAAGTTCAGTTCGGATTAGATAAAAGCAAAACAAAATTGACTATTCACAAGATACAACTACAAATAGGATACAAACAATACAACTACAAATAATCTCTAACTATAACAAAATTGAGACATTAGCCAAAGAAATAGCCCTGCAAACTTCTTAACTTAACCCATCATTAAAGGCAATAGCATAATACAACCCATTCACAATTCTCACATGATTCAATTACAGTTTGCTTACTACAGAACATTTAAAACATGATCATATTTTTAGGCGTAGTATGAAAAGGTAAAAGATGCAAGTACAAAATGTATTACTATACCCAGTTACCCACTCATCTGCATGCATACTGTAATTAGTGGAAAATACTACAAAGTATATGCATTGAGCAAGAAAAGGAAACACAAACTCGGCAACACATACCTTTGTGGAGGAAGCATTTGGGGCATCATGAACCCTTGTGCTCCAAAAGAATCTGGAGAAATAAAATTTCCGAAAAACATATCCATAGATCCTGGACCGTACCCCATGTTATAAGGCATGTTACCACCATAAGGGCCCATAAATCCATTAACGGCAGGTTGCATGCCTCTCTGGTAAGGATTAAATGCAGAATTGCACATGTTTTCGTCTATGCCAGTCATACTCATCCATTGCACGCCTGAAACTGCAAATTTCCAATTTCATACCTAATGTTAGAAGATTATTAAACAAGAAACACACACATATTAATAAAGAAAAAACTCACAACATCATCTCGAGGAGTTTTAGCAAAAAAAAAAAAAAAAAAAAAAAAAAAAAAAAAAAAAAAGATTAAAATAAATTTACCATTTACAGATGAAGACACCTTCCTCCTTTTCTTTTTCTTCCCTGAAAGACAAAGAAAAGGAAACTGATTAGGATAGCAGGCAACATCTAGGAAACTGATTAGAAATAAGTGCAACAAGTGAACAAAAAGGGGTGCAAGAAGGCACAAGTCAAGCTGAGAAAACTATTCCAGATCAGGCAACTTAAACAAATTTTAAATCATGTCAACCACCTGTCGCAGAAATTACCTGCTTCGTTAACAGCCACCTTTGGCTGACCTCCTTCCGTAAGAGGTAAAGCACTATCCTGTGATGCAGGTTCCTTCACAGTAACATATTCATGTGTAGCTTCAGATACATCTGGAACTTTAGTGATCTTATCTTCCCCTGAAGTCTGTGGTTGTACCAGAACTTGTGGAGCATCACTAGGCTTACCACCATCATCCATATTCTCCTTTAAATTTGAAATTTCTTTAGCATCTGGGGCCCCTTCTGACACAGCAGATTGAGTAGGTGATGAAATTCTAGTTTGAGGATGATGTGCAGACTCCTTATCTGAATACACAACATACAATATTAAATAATGGAAAACAAAATAAAAAATAACAATCATAACAGAGGAAAACTAAGATTAAATAGCTACCTGGAACTTGAGCAGAGCTTCCTGGATTATCTACACTGCTATTACCAGAAGACTCTAAGATGCGATTAATCGTATTCCGTAATGTATTATTTGGCACAAGATCATCTGTAAGTATATCTCTTATCCCACAGACACACATTGATTTTGAAATGATATAATCCCTGATACCTGATCAACATTGACGACAAGATGAGATTAAAGAAACACAGAAGTTAATTTCAACAGTTCATCACAATTCAAAGACCACATAACTCTCTATTTATAAGAATAGTATTAACTCAATAATTCATCTATACTAAAGGAGATCCAAATTTCACCCATAAAACATTTTTCTAGGAGATTCAAAATCAATAATCAACAAATTGTTACATCTTTGAACATATATACAAGATCATAAATCATTTTTCATCATTCAGCTTAAACAACAGATTACCTCATTAATATAGCAATAGTGCAATACTAATACCTATATGCAATTTAGGGGGGGGGGGGGGGAGGGGTGCTTCAAAGATATCCACAGCCATTAGATAAACATTAAGTCTAAAAGATGTGCAATCACCACAAGTTGACATATCAATCTGATGACAATTAATCATGGTTTACATTCAACTTACATTTATCACAGAAGCTTCCAAAACAACACTTGCTGGATAAGACAGCATCTTTCATCACTTCTTTGCACAATGGACAATGGAGTTCAGGTGGAAGATCTTTAAAAGAACAAGTAGATAGCCCTTCCATTTCTTTATCAAAGGCAGCCCTGCAGAGTGAAAGTGTCATGTTAGCTCGAGAATCCAGCTTTGAAAAGAGTAATTAGCTACTTAAGAAAGTTAACTTACTCATTTGGCTTCAAAGCAGCAGCAGTGCCACTCGGCAATACAAAGGAGCCATCTGGTGTAGGTACCAGCATCGACTTTGGGATACCAGTAGCAGGTCTCGCTTTCTTAATGTCATAATTTGGGTCACCATTTGTTGGGCAGTGCTGAATATAATGACCTAAGTTATGAAGTTTTTACAAACAATCAGCAATGTTAACTACGTTAAATACAACACTTAACATAATAAGCATGAATGGTCAAGGTTTAAAAACTCACCAGGAACTTTGCACCTATGACAAACATAGCCTTGTGGAGGTGTTTTCAACTCCAAACCACCGCAAACTAATAAAAAAGGATACATAATTAGCAATAAGAATATTTCCATAACCCAACTACTTGACTCGTTGACAGGCATTGATGGGATCAAAAATTCCCTTTAGATTATTATTTAACGAATGGTTCATCAACAAAAGGAAATATCCCATAAAACAATAAGCTAACCATATAAGGAAACTACAATTAATAGACATACATACCAAATCCTCGGGTACTCTGTTCACCTCTTCCAGAACCTCTCCTTGAGCCAAAATCATCAGTATGATGACTGCATTTTTTACAGGACGTTCCAATTAGTACATGAAAAAGTTGATTCATTAACAAATACAATATCCATAGTGCTAATAGAAATGTAAAATATCTTACAGTTGCCAGTTTAAACCAGAATTTCCAACTAAAGCCTTGATTTTGTTGTCCTTGTCAGCTTTGCTTACACAAACTGAATCCTGCACTGAACTGCTGGATAGCCTAGATTGTCCTGGTATTATCTCAGAGGTCATTGCAAATGGATTACTTCCAAATTCATCATCCATTTCAGAATCTTCAAACTGAGGAAAAAAGAAAATCATTAATGTCATCAGTCATATACGAGGTATTGTGACACAGAACCATTTAAGTAATGAACTAATGGATACATACAGCTAAAATGCCTGAAGACTCAGCAGTTGTAATGCTGCTTTTCGCACTTTGATCATCCTCAGTCTGATTTTCGAACTTTGCACTACAGAAAAATAAAAGATTCTAGATCAGGAAACCAAGTCACATTTTAATTCATAATTCTTCATATGATACAATTTACAATTCTGTTCAGCATATATACTCAAGATTCAAGAACCTTGAAATACATTATAAATGCATAACAAAATTTTCTTTAAACACACCAACACAATGGTTTATTAGATAAAACATCTACTGTTGCAGCAAAACATAATTCAAGGTCAAAAGGAGAAAGGTTAGAACATTACTTGTTTGTTTGTATAACAATGGGCATACGAGGCAGTCCAGGTACACGGCGTACAAGAACAGAGGTATTTCTTGGAATCAACATTTCTTCATCAAGATATTCTGAAATCATAACACATATAGACAAACCATGAAAAAGAGCAAATACAACATTCAGTAACTAAAATAATTGTCAATCTACAATTGACAAATGTTGGCAGGTATTATTTGTGGGAAATCTAAATGTTAACTTAGCTATGTCATAATGACCCCTGGCTCAAACTCTCTTAAAGGGACGCTTAAGTGCTAAACCCATCTCAAAATGAAGACCAAATTGGGATTCTTATCAAAGATTATCGTACAAAACGCATCACACACCGCGACGTGCCCCTCCTTCCTCTAAAACTAACCACATTAGGCAAAATAAAAAGAGACTAAAACCAAACCAGGATATCTAATTCCAACCCAGTCAACTCGGTCTATTACTATAAGTGACATATACAAACAAAAAAAATCAAACATAAAGATAAAATAATTGCATTGAACTAAACTTATTTAGTTGAGCAACCGTGATCAGCAAGCTGATCAAAATCAACCATTCAACTACGAAAAACCTAATTGCGCGCGAAATCAATAGATATAAATTTATATAATCAACACTTTGAGTTTAAGCAATACGAAAAAGCGAAAAGCCTAATTATGCGTAAACCAGTAGCTACAATCAACACTTCGAGTTTGAGTTTAAGCAATAGACACAGCAAAAGCCAACATTAGATCGCTCCAACTAAATAACATCATATACCAGTAGTATGAAATTGAAAAAGATCTAGTTAATAAAGTTGCTGGAAACAATCAAAATTGATTGACCAACCTTCATTGGTTTGTGCATTGGTAATGATGAGATCGTAATCAGTACCCTTTCTCATATTCTTCGATACATAAATCGATATTTTTAAATTGGCAATCGATATGAAAGGACCATCAACAGGAATCGAAAAATTATCTTTTGCACTTTTGAACTTATAATACACAGCCATAATTTCTCGCTATTTTTTTTTTCTTTCTTTCAATCACAAACAAATCGATCAACCAAACAAAATTATATTTCAAACGCAATGAAACCCTAGATAACAATTTATTAAGGGTTTCAAAGCTTTCAACAAAAATTAACAAAAGTACAATGATTTTTTATCTCTATGTCGCCTTGATTTCCTCTTCAGTACAACGATGCAGAATTCTCGAACGCCTTCTCTTTGATTATATGAAAATCGAAAATTTCGATCGCAATAACGCTCTTCCGACTGGTGATCGATCAATTACGAACTCCAATGTCAAAATCGATCAATTGATTGCCGCCTATCGTACTTCAAACTTCATACAACGAGGAATTCTCTGATTAAGGGGTTGAAAATTGCGATTCAAAGCAATCCACCGGAGAATCGGAAGGTAGACGAATATGATTGATGGATTTTTACGATGAAATAGAATAAATCGCAATGAATTTGGAGGATAAAAGACAGAAATTAGTGTTAGGGTTTGTATATTGGGGGAGGAAGGAAGAGAAAGCAGAGTGGTATGTTCTGGCGATTAAAGGAGCGGTTGTATTTATAGAGATTTGTTACAATCTTTTTTTTTTTATCTTTTTTTTTTTATTTTTAGAAAGAGATTTGTTACAATCTTGGAGTACAAGTAACGCGGCAAGGAATTAAGTTACAAAGACAGCAAAGAAGATATTTGTTCCCGCGTTTTGCTCAACAAAGAGAGGACTAGAGGTGTGGATTTTTTTTATTTTTTATTTTTTATTTTTTTTAAGCTTCTAGAAACTAAATTAAGGCTAGCAATATTACATCGATTTATTTTGTTATTGTAATTATATTAGGGTTATTAGTGATCTTGTTATTACTATTTTTTATTAAGATGAAATCAGCACCCTCTATTATCTCTATTATATAAGTCAAGGAGAAGGTTGTGGTGTTTCCCTAAATAGACCTTACTATCTCGGTTGGTTTATGGTTGAATAAGTAGGTTGTGGTGTTCTCCTAAAAAGACCTTAGTATCTCGGTTGGTTTATGGTTAAATAAGGTTAAAAAAATAGTACTCGTAGTTCTTACTCCCTTAGTTTCTTAATTAGATTTATAATATGCTAGAAGTAGAACGGAGAGACTATTATTTAATTGTATTTAATTGATTCCATTAAAAAGCAATCAAATCAAATGTCTTTAATTGATATAATAAATGCCATTATCAATCATCATCTTCTATTACATCAAATAGTTTCTTAAATTCAATAATTTTATTAATTCCTTCAATTAGTGATTTTAAGAAATCAATCTCTTATTTCAATCAAATCACAAATTCCCTAAATACCGTAAAATTATTCTCTCCATTAATCAATTTATTTAATTTTTCAATTCTATACTTTTAATTTATAAATGTTCTTCATGCTTTGGAAAAACATTTTCATGTCATCAAGAAATGTAAAACAATTAACTATCTCCATCATCAACCACGACAATCGTCATCACCTTGGTGTCAACCTTGTTCCCGTTATTTAGGTTGTTTTTTGAACACATGATATATATTTTTTATTATTATTATTTGACGCACGCATTATGTGCATGTGAAAACTAGTATAAATAAAGTAGAGAGACTATGGTGTGGTGTCCACCTAAAAAGACCACAACATCCCTCTTCATTTAAATTTGAATTGAGAATAAAAAAAAAAAAAAGGCAATTAAACACCAAAGAATTTACACAATCAATCTTCCATTAATTTTTAACTTAGGGCCTATTCACATTTACTTATTTTAATTTCATTTCAATTCAGCTCCAATCAGTTCATTTCAGCTCCAATCAGTTCAATTCAGCTCCTAATTTCCCTCTCTCATAAAATATTCAGTTCAGCTCAGCTCCAATCAGTTAAGTTAAGTTAAGTTCAGCTCACTAAATGTGAACAAGCCCTTAATTTATGATTTTATTTAATAAATTTGATATCATTTTATACTCTTATATGTTGACGAAATACTCTAATTCAAACTCATACCATCTACACTGTTGTCTATTAGTCGGGATTAAATATTCATTGGTGGCAATTAAACATTCATAGCTGAAAGAAGTTGAATGAAGAGTTCCCCATTTTAAAAAAAAAAGGTTGAATGAAGAGAATTGTGAAGAGAATAACTTGGTAGAAACTAGGACAAGGTAACACCTAAAAGGCTAAAAGGGCTGCCATCTGATGTGTACACAAAAGTGACAAAGTGATAGAGAGGAAGCAAAGGATGATAACGAGGTGGGAGCAATGTGTTCACTGTCGTTATTTTAAAAATATAGACTTGGTTAAAAAAAAAAAAAAAAAAAAAAAAAAAAAAAAAAAAAAAAAAAAAAGAGCTTACTCCATACTATGAACAAATTATTCTTGACATACCAAATCTAAGAATTATCAACAAATAAAAAAATAAAAAAAAAAAAAAAAAAAAAAAAAAAAAACTCCAATTGCACGATAAAATGAGTATTACTGTGCACTAGATTTCAAACATTGTAATCTCACTGTTCCCTGAATTAGAGGAAACTGGCTACAACTCTCATACTCCATGTTACAGAGAGATTGCAGGGTCAGTAACTGAAATTTTTTATCTATAACATCTTATCTATTATCCTAATTCTGGCCATTTAATCATGTATAACTAAGGAGACATCAGGAAGAGGGAGTGATAACTCGGCAGGAAGAAGAGAGCCTTGCATAATGTTATACATCAGTCAATAACAATGAAGATACAATCACAACATACGCCAGAAAGAAGAAAATGGCCAACTGGATGAAGAACTTGGGGTTTTCTCTCACATTTGGTGCTGTCACCGCCCTACCAAACATAAATATTGATTCTATTAAGAAACAGACGGTCAGTTCAATTTTCTGATATATCTCATCTGAAAGTGAAAGACGATTACCTTGCAACACGCTGAGAAAGTCTTTGAAAGGGCAAGCTCTGGATAAAAACAATCCCTGGGCCTGTTAGTACAGCAGTTACAAGGTTGTCTGCCTACAATGTTACAACAGCCACTCATAAGCTAATTTTCATCATTATTTACCACAATATCAAAGTGCGTACCAATCACAGCACAGCACATGGTTGCATATTTAGACAAGTTAAGCATGGGCAAGCTACTAGCAAGTATTCTTGATATTACGTTCCAGGCCTTCCAACAACTCATACAGTCAACTCATCGAGTCAGACAAATAAATGCAGCCATTTAATCAGCCAAAAAATACAAGAAATATGTGCTGACAAGAGATACAAAGGAGCCAACCTACTAATGATGAAAACTAAAAGGATGCCTTTCCAAAAAAAAAAACATAAGGATAATAGAGCTCACAACAGAAAGAAAAATAATAACATAAAAGAGCGATTTTGTTCTAAAACAGGGACTAGGTACAAAACACACAATACAGGTTCTAGATATCCAGACCAAATCCTGCAAACATTGTAGCAACTTACCCCAAAGACACCCCTCCTCATAGGACCATTATATTTAACCTCAACATTGACAGTGGTTGTAACGGCAGCGATGCAAGATGCATCAACTGCAAGTACTTCACCCACCTCCAGGTTTTTCTGCACAACTGTAGAAAAGAGAATTGTGAGACAGTGTTCCAAGTAGGTAGTTGCAACATATATTAGACCAAAGGCATTTAGTGAAACTGCAAGGTCATGTGAAGATAGCATTTGTAATGTGCATGTCATCTTGTCTTAAGACAAGATAGTAAAGTCTGTTTGTCAATAGTCGAGCAACTTTCTTTTTTTGTTAAAGGGCTCGCTCATAAAGCAGTTTCAAGAAAATGCGTGTAAAAGAATTTGGGGAAAGGACTAGACATGAATGTTTAAAGACAAAAACAATAGCATGATGGGAATCGCTCACAAAAAAATACCAAGAAGCTAATTGTTAATGAGAGAGAGAGAGAGAGAGATAGCTGCATACAACAAATATGACCTTCATAATTTTTTTGTAACAACACTTACCAAATTGACATAAATCACTCACGGACTAAGAAAAAAGACCTATATTACAGCAAGAATCCATAGATAATTGTACTATGAATTACAAAAATTCTAGCCAATGATAAAAATATTAGAAGACCATTCAACAACAAAGCCTTAGTCCCAAAATGATTTGGGGTGAATCATCATAAGGAACAGTCCGCAAAAAATGAAACAAAGAAAGGAAAGTGATAATTGAAAGTGGACAAAAAGTCAAAAACCAGAAAAAACCGTGGTGACAAAAAAAGGGGGTTAATGTAATCTGCCATATTAGGTATTCAAGAAACCGTTGAGAATAGTTCTAGATCTCGTCCAAAACCGAAGATTTCACAAAACCTCTCACTTAATTTTTGACTTTTCGGAAAAAAATATATAATTTAAGAAAGTTTAATGAAAATAAAACAGAGGAAAAATAAGCGAGTAAAAGAGAAAAAGAGTGAGAAAAACTTAACATAAGAAATAAATAGAGTTTGCAAAACACAATGAGTTTAAGTAAAATTGAAAAAAAAAAAAACAAAAAAACATAAATTTAAAGTCATGACATTTCCTTGGCATCCTATCTAATGCCAAATTTTCCTCAATCTCCACAAACCTCATCCACTCTCAATCAATCTCCAAATAATATTTTGATACAAAATATATCCAAAAAACTGACCATTACCCAATTTGAAGTCTTGAACTCTTGATCAGCCACTGGGTGGATTTACACAATATACTTCACATCATATGTTAACTATTAGCCCAGAGTTTCAATAAACAATTGGTAGCTCTATACCTTTTCTCTAAATCTCACATGAAGACAATTTGTGGCTACCCCTCCTATATAAGACCATCAAATATCACCCAAATGCATCTAAAGAGGCTCCATTGATTGGAAAACAGGGAAGGGGGGAGTTTCCAATTGACCATTGGTCTGAAATGCAACAGCCAAGCAATATTTCCCATTAAAAAAAGCACAGACAATTTAAAAGCCATTTTCTACATAACACATTTTTATCCAAAAGAAAATTACAGACTCGCTCTGCAGAACTTATGCTTATAAAACTAAGTCACAAAAAGCCAAATCTGGATACACTGCATGCATCTAAAATGATCTATTTGACACATTAAATTGTTTTCAAGGAAATAATTGTGTATATATCGGACCCCAGAAGAGACAAGGTATAACTGGCATGGACCAAATTGTATAAAAACTCAATATTGAAAGATCCTACTGAAAAAAAGGTTAAGACAGAAGACAACACTATGAATGATTAAATAAAATCTTGAAATCACGTGTACAGTTCTAAGGCATCAATAAGTTCTACTTACTAGCCCTACTATCAATTACTCTGAATACCATAGGATTTGAAGTTTGTAACTCTTGAATTGATAGAAGTATTTAATAGCAGAAAACCACATGATGCACAGGAGTTATGTAAATATCTAACCCTTAAGGAAAAAGTTTTGAAAAAGGACAACCTAACTAATGACCAGCAGTATCCTTGGACTATTAAAAGCATCCAGCTGCATTATAGACCTTTATATCGTACTACCAATCTATATAGATCTATATCTAATTATCTATGTCCATATCTGATCTATATCCATAGCTGTGGACATGTATGTATATAACATTGTATAGCATTTGCTAAAATCACAAAGTAAAAAAACACACACACACACACACCTGATCCACTGCCAATAATGAATGCAAGTCCTTGTCCGGACAACTTCTGCCGCAAAAAAACCTTCAGAAGCAAAATCATGATCAATTTATCAGTGCATGAATTTACTATAGAACTAGTATAGGGAGCAGCTGAAACAAAGAGACACAAGATGAAAACTAACTAACCTCTGCACCAACAACAGCGTTACGTGCCCTAGGATCAGTAGTTACATTAGTAACCTTGACATCATTTACTGAGCACAAAAACGCATCTGGCTACAAATAATATGAATTGAACATGGGGATTAGAACAATTTTGTGACACAATGGGCTATAATGTTACTAAATGTGACCATGTCACAGACAAAATGCCAAAACTGGAATGGAAATATAAGATCTACCTGGCATCGAAGTTCTCCACCAAACACAGCCAAATCAATCTGCAGTACAAAACAGAGAGTAAAGAACTATAG